AAAGTTTTATTATGATATCTCTACGTTTGAACACGATCGTCTTTCAAAAATTCATCACAGTAAACTTCAAAAACTAAATAACGGACCGATTGGACAAAAGTATAAAGATCTACCGTCAAAAATCGTCTAGTTGACAGGCACGTGTGTGCCAAACAAAACTACATTATTTATAAAGGTTTCAACAGTCTTAGTGGAAGCCATTTCCAACCGCTGAAGTAGGAAGCAAAAAAACTAAAACCTAAATCATGTGTATACTAGACTAAATTCTTTGTATTAATCTGTATCATCGAAATTAATAAAAATCGGTTCAAAACAAATTTATTTATCAAAACTCTATGTCTTGCTCCAAATCGTTGACAAATTCCATGCATTTATGCTATTAATAATCACTTTTTGCTCTTCTTCTGTATTTGTATACACCCCCATATAATACGCCTGTGAATTTTCTGGATAGACTCGTGCTGTCATTGCCAGTCGCCCGTGCTGTTCAAATATTTCTATAACAGAATGATCAATAAATATATTCAGTGTTTAAAACCATTTATCTTCGTTAATATTCAAATAGTTTTCATGTGTTTTAAACCAAATAGAACCAAAGTAGGGTGAATGTTCTGCTTCAGGATCGGTTGACGACTGTGTTCGATCAATATAAATCCAAACTAGTTGTTCATCTTGTGCATTTAACACTTTCACACCTGATGTACATTGTGTGGCTTTAACGGGTAAAGGAACACCTGATTTCAAGTAACAATAGGATGTCTGATCACGCATAACAAATGACCAGGATTTACAGACACGATCGTTGTCACAAGCTGCTTGACATTCTGAAGGTTTAGCGATATTTGACACGTCAGCATAATCCCAGCCGGGTATATCCCAATTTTCCATGTAAGTGATATTTGACCGAGTCAATAAACCAATATTAGTCCACTCAGTACCATCAGTTGTGCTTAAAATGCTAATGCCAAAATCTAATGTCTAAAATGAGATATTCGCATAAACAATGAAATGACTAGACAAAGATTCTCAGACGTGCGCGTACGCTTTTTGTTATCAGAGGTGTGTGTATCACTTCTCAGCATTATTACTAGAGCAGCGTAGTTTCACGCAGAGTTCGAACCGGCCAGTCTGCGCCGGTTTGTCCTTCAACCTTTGAATCGATCGGTCCAGTAAAGGTCGATTTTTTTTTCAATCGATTCCAGCTCTGGTTCCATGGACCTTCGATCAGTATTACAATGACTTGATTATAAATACAGAGAGGTCTGTGTGAGAAAAGATTTACCATTAAGTTTTGGTCACGGAAAGGTTATCTAAAAATCCTTAAAACGTCGTCATAGGTTCATAGGTATAGTCGCAATTATCGATTTCTAGCGTTTCAGCGAAGGGTAGAAGTTTCTAGTATCGGGTCAATTTTCTTATAACGAGAAATAGCTAAGAGCTCGTATTGTTACTAAAAGTTTCACTGATGGATACTATCGAACTTACATGAAACGAAACATTTTGAAATATACACATGAGTTTCGTAGAACTGAAATTTTCCAAAAATCACCATCGATGATTTGGAGAAACATTTGTCAAATATGTTATTTCATGCAATTTTCTGTGAGAATCATGAATCACCAGAGTTAATCTTCGGCATATACTGCTAGAAAACGGAACCGGCGATGTCTAACTTCAACGAGGTGCATTTTTAGACAAGTTTAAAATTGGCCCAAATCATTATTTTTATAAAAATCTACTCCAAACTCCTTAGAGATGTGCACGGGTACTATTTTCGTATCCGTACTCGACTTATGTCTAAACATTTTCTGCTTTCCAGCTAAAAACCTTTGTTTTTCAGCTGAAGATGTCAAATTATCCTGACGTTCTCAAGGAATTCTTTTATAAACCTTCATGTATTTTAGCTAAAGTCCTGTATTTTTTCACTAAAATTTTGTGGGTTTTCCATTAAAACTTTCCAGTTTTCCGGTAAATTAAAAAGAAATAGAACCTGTACCCGATAACTTCGTAGCCGTACCCACCCTTCAGATCGTGTTGGATACAGGTACGGATCGGGTTGCACATGTCTACTACTGAGCTAAAGCACCACTTTGACCAAATAAAGACACGAGTTACCAAATGAGCATCTCTGATATTTTAAACTTAAAATGTGGATCTAAATATATATTATACTTTCAAATTTTAAACAGATTAAAACTTCAACTTCTTCAAAAGTCCTTATGCACTGAAAGACTGAAGTAGGATGAACTAAAGATCAGGTAAATGAAGGAATGAGGAATTAGAAGCTAAAGAAAACAAAAATTAAACAATTCACAGTTCATTCCGAAAACAACAGAACCAATTCAAAACTTCGGAGTATGGCTGAATTTGTCTGGTAAACGTGATTATATCAACGAAAAAGCCGAAAGCCATATGTTTGCTTAAAAGCTTTTTCAGAAATGCTTCCGTAAAACTATTAAATTTGTAAACTTGTTTTTGCTAAATTTCTTATAACTACGCTATAGAATAGCATAAATACCGTATATTCTGATTTGAGCTGTTTTTGTTGTTTTTTGAGTGAATTGTTAATTGTTTAATAATAGGTGAAAACAACTTGGAAATCCCAGTTTTTGTAAAACTCAGTTTTCATCGCATTTTGAACTCTCTCCTACTCTTGTGTTTTTCGATAGTTTTAATTTAGAATGCTGTTTTTTCCTCCTGTATTCTGACAGAACACAGCGTATTTGAACTCTTTCCTAAAAACAAACTTTGCCACAAGATTCAGCGTGCTCGATTATGTATGTTTCATACAATCTCAAGGTTACTTCAAGTTACCGGATGTCAATGAAGTCAGATACCACGACCGAACCGCTGAAAATCAAGATCTCGCTTGACTCCCACTTTGAAGCGGACACTTTAGACTACCTACTCATGAAAACAAGCCGACATATTTTTATTATAGGCTTTTTAATAATAACATGTTTTTTTAAAGATCCTCTGGAAAATCTGTTTTGAAGGAAAATTTTCAAAATGACTTTCGTGATGGACAGATGCCATCAGGTTTTGGCTTCCAATTGGTGAAGATCACAAGTCTCTATCACTTTTTTGTCAAACGTTGCTCGAAAAACATCCGAATTCAGAAACGTTGCTCGAAAATACTTGATTTGTACTTAGGGCTATCCAAAAGTAATGAGGGAGGTACTATTTTTTCTTATAGAAAGCTTGAAAAGTTTTTCTTTTTTTATGAACAGATAGAGCGTCTTTCGCTGTATTTTTCTATGCTATTTGATCACTGTTCAAGTAACATCATAATAATAAAATTTCGATAAGATCTATTTCTTTCGCATATGTGCTGGTAGCATGAACATGAATGCTCGTGAGTATTTTTTGAATAATATGTAATAGCAACAAGATAGAGAACTGCGATTTTCACCGTTGGAAAGAGGAGATGAAGACGCATCGAACCATATGTTACTAATTTTTCTAACCTGTTTTTTGTAAGGTTTTTACTTGATCTTTTAAAGAACAAACCTGTCCGGAGAGTTGTTTACGGTGAATTTCCAATAATCAGGTTCACATTCAAACCGCTAATCGAAGATCTACAAACTGCGAAAGATTCAGGTGTAAATTTAATTATTTGGGGATAATACGTATTCCAGACGAACCTCTACTACGATTTTCGTTCAACCTTTCTGTTTTTTCTTTTTTTCACAAAAAAAAGATTTTTCCGACGGTTAGAAAATTGAACAA